GCACAAACAGAGAAAGAGAGGGTGAGAGGGAGACGGAGAAGGAATTTCTTCTCAGGGAAAAGAGAGTCCAAATTGCTGTCCTACAAAAGCCAGGAAAATTTGGCTATTTACTGGCACTATTCGTAAGAAATAGGCCTTCCCTGTAAAACTCCGATAAATTTAAACTTTTTCGAAAAAAGTTCAAAATAGTAATTTGTTACTATTATGTGGGTTTAAAATGCATATTTTTATAGAGCTCAAATGGAGCAACAAATTTCACCGTTAGATTCGCATCGCGAAATCAAGCTGTCATATCAATTTTTGTTGAACTCTGAGGTAGTCGAATTTTGTACATTTTACGAGACGATTGGGTGACAAATGAACTTTAAACGTTCCCAAAAATAGAAATTATGAAATTTTCTTATAATTCAATAAAATTTTAAATAAAATTAATTTGAATTGAAATCGAAATTTAATTAAATCGTTTCGGGTTAAAAACGAACTCGAAAATAGTAAACATGCAAGGCAAAGTGGACCGCACAATTAAAATGTAGAAATAGGGGTTAATATCTGAAAAATCAGATATTTTCTCACCCATTTGGCAGACTGAATCACGCGTTGAAGAGAAGAGAGAACACCTAATTTCTACCTTTCTTCTTAAATCCAAGAAGCTCCGTCGGTCGGAATCGCTTGGATCAAGAACTAAAGTTGGTCTACGCGACGAGAGCTACGCGTACGTACCAAGAATGAAGGATTTCACCAAAGATCCAAGGGAAGGATTTTGGAGAAATCAAAGATTTGGAGGTGGTATTGTGTTCTTGAGGTGTCTACCACTTGTATCACGCTCAAAGGGGTAGGGTTTCTCTTACTTTGGTTCATTTTCTTATCTAGGGTGTATTATGAATGGGGTAAGGGTATAGAATAACCTAGGTCATTTGACTATGGTTATAGAAATGAAGAAATGAGTATGAAATTTGGTCTAGACCAATTCCTAGTTATGTTGGAATAGGAAATTACTTGTGTGATTTTCTTGGAACTTGATATTTTGGGCATGCTATATGTTTTATATTATGCCTTATGAATGAGATGAAAATTCTTATGTGATAACATGAATTGTGTCTTAAGGTATTTTGCAAATTGTCTAAGTGTAAATTAAGTTGTTATAGCATCGATTATGTATAACAAGCTTGTGAAATTTGTTGAGGATGAATGAATTGCTATATATTGTTCATATATTAGCATTATGTTGATTTATGGTAATTATATGCAATTGTTATGGATTGCCATGACATATGTGGAGATATGTGGTTAAATTGCTCAATTGACACTTATTACATATAAAGCATAACATGGATATTTCAATGGTGCACTACATTGCATATGCACGGGGGAAATACATCTATAAGCATGAATGTGGGTGTGTGGGTGCATGGTTGAATCAAACATCATATTTGGTGATTGATGAGTGGGCTCGGAAAAGTTGGACTAAAGATCTGACTGAGTCTCATGAATGGATGAAAGAAAAATTGGGTCGAGGTAGCAAGAAGGGCTAGATTATCCCTTGGGTGAGAGGCCCGGTGATTGGATAAACACTTTGTTGGTATAAGAGCCCAAGAAGTGTATCGGTGTACGCGGAACCGTTGGTGGAAATCCATGAATTTCATGTCGGTTGGGTGTCGTTGGTGTAAGTCCATAAATATCCATCCCAAATAAAGACCTAGAGATTTTTAAATAGTCATTTAGAGGATAATATAAATGGTGGGAGCTAGAAGGGCTCGGTTTTATATACATTGGCATTTGCATGTGTTGAGGAGTCGGGAAAGGCTCGGGGTTAAAATGTGAGAGTGAATCTCATTTCATTCATGGCATGGCATGATAAATTCCAACATGGAATACATATATTCTTGATTGGAATGATTACATGATTATATAATTGTTGATTGTTGCATGTGTACATTCATATGCACTTAGGTGGGGAGTAGCCCTCGTAGAAAATATTCTACTAGGCGTTGGCTTATCCTATACAAGAACATATTTCAAGTACGGGGCATATTCCAATGGATGACACACATTCAGGGCCTCAAGAGTGAAGAAAAGTTGGTTTGTGGCTTTGAAAATGAGTTTTGTATAAAAACCTAGGTTTAATTCCAATTGACATATAAATGTATGGAATGGGTAACAATAGACTTGTATAAATCATGTATAATGTATAAAATATCTTTATACATATTTGGGATGAATTTGGAAAGGTTTGGATTGGATTGAAAATCCAAAATAGGTGAAATAGGGAAAAATGGGTTCAACGTACCGGTACGTTGAGGTCCAGTGAGGCATGCGTATCGGTACGCTCTGGCAGATTTTGAAATTTTTTTTATTTGTCTTCCAAGACATTGGGCTATACATCTTTTAGTTCCAATGATACAAATGAACCTTAAATGAGATATATTGGGGTACATTGAACCTCGATAGGATTAAAGGATTAATGGAACACGGGTGTTACGTGTGATGTAAAATTCCAGTAATGGGATAATATTAGGGTGATGTCGAATCAAGCAACACTCACGGACATTTCCACGGGTTGACGGGTTATCGACAGGACCCCCAATTTTAGGGGCGTCACATTCCCTGCCGCTTTCTAGTCCCATGGACTTCTCTAACTTATTTCTATTGTATTTTCTTTTGTCCTACAGCCTTCATTCTTTTTGTGGTATCACTGACATATAAGAGAGAAAGTTTTGGAAATCTGCATATATATATATATATATATATATATATATATATATATATATATATATATATATATATATATATATATATATATATATATATATATATATAATAAAGTAGCTTACAATTCAAATTTCAAAAGATAAACAAAATGACTTTTACTTTTCACAGTTTAGATCGTTTTAAATTTTATTTTAAAGTTAATCTAACGGCTAATATTAACATCCTAAATTTAATTGAAAAAAGACCATGAAGGGTATGTTTTGAGTGACTTTTTAAAAGTATTTCTAGAAATTATTTCTTATATATACTTTTAAAAAAATAGTGTTTGAAACCGCTCTAGCACTACCTCTACTACCACCGCCACCGCCGCCGCTGCCGCCGCCTCCTCCACCTCCACCTCCACCTCCACCGCCGCCACCACTGCCAAAACTGTTACTGCCACCAACACCCTACTATAACCATCGCCACCACTGCCATCGCCGTTGTCGCCATCACTACCACCATTTTCACCGTCACCACCACTATCGCCACCACCACCACCATCGCCATCGTCATTGTCACCTACCACAACCATCACCGTCTCCTGCCACCACTTCTCACCCCCACTACAACCGATGCTTAAATTTATTTCTCTCTCCTTTATGTTTGTAATTTTGATTTTGGATATGAATACAAATATGTTTATTGTTTATCATTTTTTTATTACTTTATACATTTAGGCATAGACAATAACTAGTTTATATAATAAAGTAGCTTACAATTAAAATCTTAAAAGATAAACAAAATGACTTTTGTTATTCGCGGTTGAGATTACTTTAAATTTTACTTTAAAGTTAATCTAACGACTAATATTAACATCTTAAATTTAATAAAAAAAATAGGTCTCTAAGGGTGTGTTTGGAATGACTTTTTAAAAGTACTCCTACAAATTATTTCAAATAAATACTTTAAAAAAAATATTGTTTGAAACCGCCCCACTACTACATCCACCACCACCACCGCCACCACCACTACCACCGTCGTCACTGCCACTGCCACCCTCGCTGCCACCATGATCATTGCCACCCGCAACAACAATCACTGTCTCCTACCACCACCACTACCGCCCACCACCTCTCACTCCCACTACAAACTGATACTTAAATTCATTTATCTCTTCTTTATGTTTATAATTTAATTTTAAATATAAATACAAATATATTTATTATTTACTATTTTTTATTACTCTATACCTGAAGGCACAGACAATAACTCGTATATATATCTATATATATATATATATATATATAATCTAAAACATGGCGACTTTAACATCCAACGACCACTAACACTCTAATTTAAATTAAATGGTTCAGATTTCATCAACATTCGTCCAATTTAATCTAATAGTCCACAACACATCTCGCAAAATCAAAATCCCTACACTCTCAAACGGCCCCTAGACATGACTATACCTACTCACACGACACCCAACCCAAGCCAAACTCTCTCTCTCTCTCTCTACAAGACCAGCGCCTTCTCTACTCTCTCTCACGGTCTCACCTCTCGCTCTGCCATGGCTCAACCATGAAAGGTCAAACAGGTACCTTCCTATCACACATAGCCACAGCCACCACCAACGCCATAGCCACGCCTCTCCCAGGTATCCCTCTTTTCTCTCCGTCTCTCTGTCTCTCCCCCAAAGGTTTCCCCATTCTGCGCAACACAACCCCCCATCTCACCTCCTCTGCGCAACCCACCCCTCCCCTACACTCTCAAACGGCCCCTTCTGCATCATCCACATCAAGTCTCATGCATCCGATGAGGCTTGCAATCAACTTTGGTCCAAATCTAGTTCACGTAAGTCCTTGATTCATTATCATCGTCATTTTTATAGATCATTTCATACCCATGATCCTGATCCAACCTTTCTTCATCTCATGTTGATGATTTTTATCTGATCTGATCTAACTGAAATTGATCTGGATTTTTTGTTTTGTAGCTCTCATTCCTCTTTTTTTTTTTGTTGATAAAGAGGTTTTCATGATTCACAGAGTTTGTCTATAATTCGGCCAAATCATATTCAGTAGGCCTAATCTTTCCTTACAAATGTGCAGTCACCGTCTCTTTGAGAACCTCCACCCTTATAAATGGTTTGGGTTCACGCATATAAGTTATCTATTTGTACTTTGTGAGCTATGTGAACATCCCTGATTATTTGGTAAGGTATATGAAACTTGAAAATTTTGTGCAAATTATTAATCTAGGGTTGAAATTTTCGGTTATTGTTAGTGAAATAATTGGTGCTTGAAATGGGTTCCAATTTGGGTTTTTGGATCAAGTGTAGTGTCGAGGTTCCTAGATTTCTGAATGTAGAAAATTTGAAAATAATTGCTTTATGGGGGTTAGTGTTTGGATGCGATTTGCTTTTGGTTACTTACTTTTGAAAGTTCACCTAATTTAGATTACTAACTTTTGGTCCAATTCAAGTTGTGGTCACTGTTGTTTGAATTGGGCTGAATAATAGAAGCAATAGTTTTTTTCCCTTTGTGGTTCATGTTGCTGAATTTTATACTTAATGCCCAATCTAGCTGTTGATGAGGGTGGCAAATTTTGAAATTGATACTACCCGGTGAATTTAGATTAAAGAATGGGTATTTTCATCCTTTTTTTTTTTTTGGCTGAGGTGGCTTTTGACAGGGAAACACTTAGTTAATGCTTGTAATAGATCTATTTGAAAAGTTATGTTATTAAGATTCCCTGTTTTAATCAAAATTTTTAGAGCTTTAAACCATAGTGTTTGAAGATAAAGATTCATTACTATGTTATTAAGATTCCCTATGCAACTTATGATGGATGAATTGTGTAATTTCGTCATTATTTGCTGATTGACTATTCACTCACCAGTGCTACAGCATGCAGTATTCTTGATAGGGCTATTGAAGCAGAGGATAGTAAGTATGGAGACTTTCTGAGGTTGGTATTGTCATTCTATCATATGTCTCTCTCACTTTTTTGTTATCTGCATTGGACAAAAATTAACCATGCCCGCCTCCCACCAAGGGGAAGGGGGAGTATGCCCACCTTCACAGGTGAAATGGGTGCTTATTCCTAATTTATATGTTCTTTTGGGAAGCCAACCTACTGAACCTTATGTAAATGTGATGCATGCAGGAACACATTGAGGGGTACCTTGAACTGTCAGCCAAGACGAAGTCTTTTTTTACTACAGTTGTTGCTTTGTGGGATGCGGATTTCTATGTTAAATATAGGTAGAGATGCCAATATTTTTCTGTCGCATTTTCTCATTTTATTTTCCAAATAACTATATTTGTTTTGTTATTTCGTGGGAGATATTATGAGATCATCATTTTGAAGCTGGAAATTACTGTCATAGCTTGCTCTTGTGGAAGGCCTGAGATTCCAGTTTTTTTCTTTTCTCATTACAACACTAAATATCTCTGAATTATATCTCTGAATTACAACAACCAAGGGGTCTACAACTGTGGCTAACTGCCTAGCCACTGAATGTGATACATAGCAGAATATGCATCTGTAGTTTGTAAACAGCACGTGTTTAGCTATATTATTCTCAACGTATCATTTAATTCACTGTACTTTAGTATATTAGTAGTGCATCTACCCAACAATGGCCCTTGGGAAATTCTACTCATGTGATTGTTTCCTCATATTTCATTGCTGCAACACTTGCTAGAGTTATGATACTTGCCAGAGTTATGATACCCATCAATTGGCCCTTGGCGGTATTTTTGTGATGCTTTGTGTATAGATATGATACTTTGTGGGAATCTTTTTTTGATGTTTGATTGTAATTTTTGTGATGGGTATTTGATCATTTTTAAGATAAAATTTGATGTGTTTTTTAGTAGAATAATAATATAAAACTAAAACATATATGACAAGAATTAAAGTAGTTATCAAATATATTTTCAATTTTAAGCTTTCAGAGTTTGTAAAATATAAACTACAATCAAATAAATTTTCTGTTGTTCGTTATAAAATTGCCCGAGTTACGAAATACACCATTGTCCATTCTATACAGTTGGAATGCTTTCCATGGTATTAAAATGGTAGTTTATATACATGTGACTCAATCAGATGAAATATCTCTACCCCAAAAATGCTTTTTTTTTTTATTTTGCACAAAGAATGTAATATGCCTAGGTCAACAAGTTATCAAGGTTTCTCCATGCATTATATCCTATGGATTGATGTGAACCTTTTCAACATAAAATTGGAATCTTTTGTTGCAATGGAAATAGAACCGATATGGATTACTCAATAATTGTACTTAATTTGATATTTTCTTTGAGGACTCCTTAGTTTTTAGTGTACTAACAAAAATAGTTTTATGCAGCGAGACAAAAATAGTTCTCGCTTCAGTTGGATTGAGAAAGTGTTCATTGGATGTGCTTGGTGGGATCCTTAGGTCATATAGTATTTTAACCTCCCCTCTTTCATGGGCAATTGGGCATGGCAGGAAAGATGATTTTTTTTATTCCTTTTGGAAATTTCCTGTAACTTCTTTTGGCAATTCTGTAGATCTGAGAAGGCTGAAAAACTGCTTGCTGAAGTGTTACTCAAGGGGCTACAAGGACACAGGTAGACCAATATACTTGCGCTTTGTTATTCTTTTGGTTTAAATTGTGAGTTGTGTAGTTTATATGATTTATTATTGGATGGCCACAATTTTTTCCAGGCTTGTGTCCACAAAAATGGATGCTTTATTATCGACTCCCCGATTGGTCCTTTGCCATGGCCCAGGTACCCCTCTCTCTCTCTCACAAATCACACACACATAGTAGAACACACAGACACACACCAGCATACTTACATACTCTATGCATCTCTCTCACTCACACACGCGCGGAACATTGCAAACCTAGATCCACCACAACCCACCACCATTTACTATTTCCCTTATTTAATGTTATTGAATTAGTTTTGTTGTTCTGATTTGAATTCGTGTAATCGATATCCATGGTATTTGACAAACAAACTTTTTGGTGATGAAAATGTTAGGTTTACTTTTTGATATCTATGGTGTGAATATCATATTAACTTTTTCCTAATTGAATCTAACAGTGCACCATTTCACTGACATCCATGTTTGAATTCATGTTCCTTATTGTGACTTGCATCATCAATAATGCATTTGCTTCATTATTGATTGCATTTTTTTAATTGTGATTTTGTTTCATTAGAATTTTTATTGTTTAGGGAGCCAGTTACTTTAAATGATGATGGATTTAGAGGAACTAAGTTCATTCTCATTTGCTACCTTTCAACAAGGGCTTCAAGGTAAGTCTCACAATGGGCTTATATATTTTGTTAAAGGTTGTCCATAAGAGATTTCTAAGGTTTTGTTCCTTTTCTTCTTTTTTCCCCTTAATTGAGCCTGTGAACATTCTTGCTGGCATATCATTGTTTTGAAACAGTTTGTGCGATTATTTCTCTTGATATCTCTCTCAGTTTTAATAATTTCCCATGGTCATTGTCATTTAACTTGAACAATTTCAACTACATTCGTTAACAAGTAATCATGTTTTCCCTACTCTTATGGGTATTTGCAATTGGTATGTTGGATTTTTTTGATAGATCGAACATGTAAATTGAATCTCAAGCATACGTATTTTTTATAATTAATTTTTGTTGGGTCTATGATGGGTTAATAAGTAGTTGTTGGGATATGCCAAGTTGTTTCTATTGAATTCATGTTATGGGATTTAAAGACATTGACAATGATTTTGATAATTATTTTTTAGTTATTAAGCATACTTATTTTTTTGTTTAAAGAAAATTTAGAGTAGATCTTTGTTTCTATGGAATATAAAACAAAGGATCTTTGCATGGTAAATATGGCTTTACCAAGCTTTCTATATTAAACTCACTTATTACTTTTGTATGAGGCAAAGTCATATATCAAATTCACAATTCTTTTGCAACAAAAGAAAACTACTTTTCTTATTTTACTGTACATATATGTTGACATTTTGGATAGCTGAAAAACCTATGTTCCCTCCTAATGCATTGACAACATATGTATGTAGCTGTTTACCATGCATGAGTTTCATTTTTTATATACCTATTTTTTTTTGGAAATTTTTGCGTACAATGTATCCATTAGGTTGATTTTTTTTTTGTATAAATTGAATGTTAATGACGTTTGGCAATTGTTATTGATCCATGCTAAACATTGCAATGATCAAATTAGTTTGCCTTTCATATATTGGTAATATGAATTGTTTGGGTTTAAATTCAACTGTTGATTGTTTTTGGTTATTTGATTCAAAATGGTGCATATAGGCAATTAATATTCAGTTGGGACAAAGTGAATTGGCTTGATTTGGAGTCATGAAATTGGATTAGTTTTTATATGGTTTAGATTATGTTCTATGCATTGAATGGGCATATAATTTATATTGCAATCATTTCTAGCTAGCCTTCTTTATGGATTGAATTCATTGTGCTACCACTTTTAGGAATTGCAACTTTGCTTACACTATTGTGGTTTCCTACTTATATTCCTCTAGATATATATGTGGATGATGAATGAATGTGTTTATTTTTGTGGATTTTATGTTGTGATTTAATGAATTATTTTTATGGATTTAACAATTAAAATTTTGTTTTTCACTTTATGGATTCAATTAAGTAAACTCATAGTTTTGTTTGTTAATGTAGATTATCTATTTTCTAGGATTTTTAATAACAAGTAGTTTACTATTTCTCAATGGGAAAAAAATGAGGTAAGAGTTGTTGGATATTACTCATCTATGAAAAATTTATGATGTGTTGATATGTTGATCAATTTTTAGAAGGTTGTTGAATGAGGGGAGACAAGAGTTGGATGAAACAACCGAGGCAGCAAAGAGGATAGCCATAGAGGGCAGTCCATGGTTGCAATGCTTGAGTAGCACGTTAGGTGCATGAATCCACTTCTCAAGTTCTTTAGGAAGAATGAGAGGGTGGTAGTATAGTTTGATTACTTTCTTTTGATGCTCTGTTGTGGTAAACAATTATGATTGTGTCTTTTTTCTTTGTTTTTAAGTTTTAAGTACATGAATCTTCCATGAAGTTAAGAAACAGTGTCGTACATTGTTAAATACTTTTTGGATAATGAATTGTTGTTATAGTGATATATTGCTTCACTTTTGAGTGTAATATGAAGTTATATTTTTTTAAACCTTGGAATATATTATGAATCGGTGGTGACAATTGGGGTTTTATGCGTTCATAGTTTGGAATTATTTTGTTATTGTAGAGTTGTTACTTCCATTCGGTGAGGTTTTCGACAAAAGTTGTGCCAAAATGTATTACTTCAGTCTGTCATGGTATAATGCTAGAACTATATAGGGATGATCTTTGTGTTAAAAGATATTAAAAATGATTTTTACATCTATGTGATATTATAGTTTTGATTTCTTCATTGTAGTTTAGGCAGCAAAGGCTTCATTGATTGGATCTATACAAACGTGGGCTTGATTTTCTCTTCAAAGCCAATGGAAGCTCATTTTGTGAAAGATAGATTTATTGGATTCAAATTATGTAAAGTTATTATTTATTTTTATTCTAATATCATGTGGTGCTTTTAGTCTACAATCAAGTTATCTCGCATAAGATTCGTATATAAAATATTAGGTAAATATCATAATTGGGAATGAATGACTGAATTTTGTGACTTTGAAAAGTTTATGATTATTGCGGTTGGTTTATTATATGTTTTTTGATTTAATTATGTACTAAGTCAGAAAATTTGGTGTCATTGCTTTGAAGATGGACATTTATTTGCGGTTTTTTATTTGTTACATTGTGCTTTTAGGCATGGACAATTACTAGTATATATATAAAATAAAATACAATACAATTTAAATCTCAAAAGATAAATAAAATAATTTTTGTTATTCGCGGTTGAGATCTTTTTCAATTTTACTTTAAAATTAATTCGATGGTTAATATTAATACTCTAAATTTAATAGAAAAAATAAGTCTCTAAAGATGTGTTTGGTGTGATTTTTTAAAAATGTTTTTAATATTTATAATTTCTCATAAATACTTCAAAAAATAATAATGTTTTGAACTACTACACCACTACTACCATCACCCCCATCACCATTACCATTACTACTACCATTGCCACCACCAAACTACCCTCCACCATCATCACCACTACCATTACCACCTCCACCTTCATCATCGCAACCTCACCCACCGCCTTACCATCACCATCACGATCACCACTACCACCACACCTGCCCCTTACCACTATCATCGTTGTCACCACCATACCACCCCTATCATCACCACCCCACCACCACCACCACCACCACTGTCCTACCACCCCTTACTATCATCATCGTTGCCATTATTACTACCGTCACCCCACCACCACCACCACTGTCACCTCCACCCTACCACCACCGCCACTATCCAACCGTCACCCCTATCACCACTACCCCTATCGCCCTACCACAGGGACTTTATCACCATTTGCAATCTTATCTCCTTTCCCCCTCTTTGCCTCAATCTCCTTGAAAATTTAAGAATTGTGCAAAGGATTAACACAAACACAACCATGTCTATGACCATATAATATTAAGGATCCAAACCAAAGAAAGAGTAAGAAAATCAAACCTTTGGCAACTAGGTTATTAACCTTTCCACTAGATTTTGAGGATATGTTAATTTTGGCTTCTGATGAATTCAAAATATTTATGACAAAATTTAAAAGGGTGGGAAGGTAAATGAGTAATGAGAATAGAAAAACATGTTCTACGTGAAGTCTGAACAAGTAAAGAATGACTATATACATCTCTAATTATCTATAGTATCAGGAAAAAGAGGTATAACCTTCAGCATCAAACTGTGCTTTTCTTCCCCTCTTTGACTTTGCTGAGCTATCATCCTTCTCTTTGAATGATGCTATGCAAAGGAATTTTCAGAAATAAAATATGTCTTCAACATTAGAGTTATTGGCTCATCATATAGAAAACAAAAATCAATTTGAAACAACATAAATTAAGCATAAAAAGGCTACATATATCTCAACAGTAATTCACACATCAGAGCATGTTTCATGCATCCAAACTGCAAAGTATAATCTAAGTTCAAATTTTTTTAAATGCTCAGTAATCAGTTCTCCCATGTAAATGTTTTCTGATTGGTACTAGCATGTAATGATTGGTTAAACCATAAGAATACCCAAAAACATAGAAAGATACATTTGAACGCATGATAGATTAAAGATAAAAACAAGTTACTGAAAAATAGGTGAGAGTTATCAGGAGATTTGAGAGAAGATTTTCCACCATTAGAAAGTGAAAACCCCTTTCCACCTTTCTCTGCTATTTGTAGCTGCTAGTATTGCAAAACATATGAAGTCTCAGGTCAAAATCATCTAATCAAACCTCATCCAACAAGCAGATTAATGGAAAAACAATAAAAATATAAGTTAGACCTCTCTCAGATGATGATTACAAAATAAAAAAAAAAAGAATTTTTTTGAGATGTAAAGTGTAGAATGGACCTTAAGAATGGGTTTCCTTAATAAAAAACAAACAAAAAAAAAGTAGGAAAAAAAACACCTTCCCAACCTCTTGAGTAATGTCAGCCCTTTCAAACTTCTTTTCTAAAAAATACTGAACCTAAAACATTCTCTTAACCCAAAAAAGACCGAGATGCACACATAAATAATTAACAATTACATATTTGCAAAACAAACAGGAAATAGAGAAATAAAAGATTGAAGATGAAGACATCGAATTACCGGAAGACAATGGGAGGGTAAAAGGATGGGGACGTCAAGCAGTAATATTGATCAGAGATAAATAACAGGGAGGGAGGGAGGGAGGGTGGGTGGGGTGAGGGATGGGTTGTTTTACGAATGCAACAGTATTACAACTTTTTTTTCTCTCGTGTCGTCTGAACCTTGCCTTCAAGCTATGGGAGGCCACGCCCTTTTACAGTTACGGTTAGGGATCCAAACATTTACATTATACATATTGTCAGCCATTGATTGTTGTTGTAGTGAACAATTACCAACCATTCTTTCCCACCGAACAAACAACCGCCTACAATAATCCTTCATTCACCTTCTTCTGCATGGAATGAAACCCATATGCTTCGTGCAAGGTCATTGAGAGGATGAAATGATGACATTCTACTAGAAAGTAGAAAGCAGTTAACTCTTTTCCCAATTCCCTAGTGCAAACCCTCTCAACCCTCGATAGATGACTGAATTTATGGTGTCGTACCCCAAGAGAAATCACTGCGTTCCTTTGATCTAGAAGAATAGATATGTGAAACAACCTATTTTTGTTTGTCAACTGGTTGGGTGGCAGGTCACTACCACGCAAATCCTGTGGGACTGAATTGATACTTTTTTCTTGTCATTCAAAGTGGTATTTCTCCCCCCCTATCAAAAGAATGACTCTTTTCTCGAGCACACACTAACTTTGGTCATTAAGTGGACCTTTGTTGGCTTGTTAATGCTTGATCTGTATGTTCTCCATGGGGACTAGACCATTCACTTATCCTAGTCCATTGACTAAAAGACCATCGTACAAGAGCATCCACCAACAGTTACTGCCACCTGAGGATGACTCTCCTCTCACAACGGAAATTGGCATCACACAAGATTAAGACATACTAAAAGAAAACTGATAATTGATATACCAAAAGCTAAACAAGGCCTTCTTAACCAGTAAGAAACCCATGCTTGTTGGGTCTTGAACTCAGTCACGCAATACAGCAGGTGCTAGAGCAGAAAGTCTAGCCATATATGGCTAGCAAAAGTACGTACCTCTTTGGCTGAAGCTGAAAGTTAGGAAATGCTGCACTATTACTGGTAAATTTTGTTTAGAAAGTGCAGATAACTCAAATAAATTCATTTCAATCACATATACAGCCATGGTCACCAACACCCCCACCATGACCTGTTTTGCATCACCGATTCCTCCAGCTCCACAATGCATCATTTCTTTCACCTGGCCCTCACAACATAAAAAATCCAACTCGAGACACAAAAACACAAACACACATTGCGGACCGATTAAATCGGATATTCTTGTTCTTTGTATTGGTGGGAGGAAAGCAAGCTTGTTCATCACAATTCACTTAGATTCAGTGATAATACAGCATTTGTTCTGCCATAAGGCTACTTGACAGAATCCAACAAAATCCCATAGCTAATAATTACTAATTTTTTCTTTTCAAGCTATACACCAGTACAAAATCATACGTGACTATAGGCATTAGAAATGATGCTTCCGGCAGTCTGCCTGAGTTACTTCACAAAACTGGTGCCATACTCGCATCCACCAAGCCCAAAGAAATCAATCCTGCACTCCTTTTATCAGAATAGTCCATCAATATCATAATACACCAATAAAGCAATAAATTTAAATTGGTAACAGAAGTTGAAAAGCAGATATTCCAGCCTTAACAACCAGATCATCTTTTTACTCTTTCAGCCTCCATATGACAAAGAGTAAATGCAACACAAGGCCAACCAAGCTCAGACAATAAAGATTCTTTACAGGGATCCCAACAATGAGGCTTCATGTTGAGTGTTTTAGCTTAGCAAGTTGATCCAATGCATCTTTAAGGGGTTCTCTCAGTTTGCTTTTCTTGCCCTGGAAACAATGAAATTGTAAACAGCAGCTTGCGAAGATTAAAGAGTAAAACAAATACCAAATCCTTTATCTGAAAAGCATTGTTTCAATTATAAGATATCCTAGCATTTAATCACACAATCATCCATTCCAAAGATTCCTCCTTTAAACTTGACCCAACAATGAAAGTGCAAAGGCTAAATCAGAATATTAATCATCAACCTTAAAACTACATATTGGTAACTTCTAGATAGCAGCTTTGCAATGAAAACACACAAGCAAACACGTAATCAAATCGCACCATAACAGCTTGTGAGAAAAAAGGGAGCGAGACACCTTTATAAGAGGGCTAATACATCAACTCTCTGAGCAGAAAATATTTAAAAAATTTCCCAAGTCCATGTTTCAATGAGATTAAGAACCAAATAATTTCTATAGTGTTTGCTTCTCCCACTCTTTCCTCTTGCATTCATGCAAACAACTTCAGAAATTCCTGACAAAGCATCAAAGTCTAACAACCTTAACATACCATCTCAACTTAATTGGAGATACCTGGCCCTACCATTTGTCAATCTGACAGTGAAATAGATAACAAAGCTACAAATATAGGCCAAAATACAATGGTTTTCTTTCATATATGATGAAAGTGTCTTTATTGAGTCCCTAATGGAGAAGAGCAGGAAAGAGAAAAGGGAAAGTCAAACAGGGCCTATAAACCCAAATATGACCCTTTTTCTGCAGATCACTAGTATAATGCATTTACACATTGAGTTACTAAAGAAGCCAACCTTTGGTCTCCTAGAAAGAATGGAAGGAAGGGCAAGGGCTATATCTCTCTATTGGTAGAAAGATGTAGATCTTTATCTCTAATATTGTGGACAGTGAGAAACAGCTTAACTTCTTTCTTGATGGTACATCAAATATTTGCAAGCACGTGAAGGAACTAGTGTAGGAAGCATTTATACAGTTATCTAAGTCCTAATAATATAATCCTCTAGAGTATAAAAAGATAATAGCCAAAATTCCAGAAAGAAACTTGCAGAACCAGAAAAAGGCAACCATTTTCCAACACCAATACTAGTGGGCCATCAAAAATATATTAATCCAAAAGCTACAGAGCTATTTATGCCGCACCTTCAAGGATGGGACAAGAGCAAAAACTTCTTCCACAGATTCTGGACCTACATTGGCAATCATGGACACCTGCAGTCATAAAGATGAAATAAAGTACACCACGTGACAATTGAAAATCAAGAATTCCGGATTAAGATTAATACCTCGCCATCAGAAACATTGTGCTGTTTGAGAGCACTATTTCTAAGTTAATGGATCAACAACAGAATGCTCAAAAACAATTTTTTTCATTAATTTTTTGACGTGAGGTGCCCCAATAGCAAGCTACTGTGGTGGGCCCTCCCCTCAAAAAAATAATTTAATATCGTGTGGCCCATTGGGCCATGTATGAAATATTAAACTGATAAGAAAAGATATTATACATGATCTTAGTCAAAAACAAATTAACCACAACTCAAGCAACGTCAATCTCTGGACACTGCCGTCTTACCCAAAAAAAAAAATAGTAGTAACAAAACTAGTAATCATCATCGTTATGAAAGAAAAGGATACTCAAGCACTCGTCTAACAGAGTGTGGACTTGTATAATGGCTACCCCTCTTGGCATACTGTAGTCCCCTGTCAAATGAACTAAAAATGAACAGATTGTTAAATCTCTTAAAACCAGATTAACTTCTCATTTAACTAACAAAGAAGTACATGAAATGCTTTTTTAAATAAAAAAGGCATTCCTAAACAAGAATACGAAGCATAAAATGTATTACTCACATGGGGATTTTAATTGCTGGATCTTCAGAAAGTATGACCATTTGCTCTTGGATTCCTTGTAAAATTTCTGCAGCTTCACAGTCCATCAAGCATTTAGCGTTCTCCGGAAGTTCTGCCCATATTTCAATAGCTACCATTAAAAGCACACACATGTGCATAACTTAAATAACTGCACTAGCAGTACCCCTTTCAGAAATGCTACTACCACTAAACGAATAAAAATCAATAGATTAGAAGGCTAGAAAGACCTAACCCAGCAAAATATACCCCAAAACCCAATGTTTTATTATACAGACCCTCACAACGTATACATAGTCAGAGATTGCTCAATTATGTTCAGCTTGTTTTTCAATTTTACAGAAATATATCCCAACATAAAAAAGAATTGCAATGGAACAACATAAGTCGTGACTAATATTTGAAAAATTATGATTGGAAAACAAAATTAATGCCATTAAACTATATAAAATAGCAAGGAGACAAATACAATTTCAATAAAAATTGAAAAACATAGAAAAACCAAGAAAATTATAATATTGCGTAGTGTCAATTATCCAACTATGGATAAATAAACCATTGAGACTTTTCCAAACTATTTGGGATAGCTTACCTGAATTTTGTTTCAATATTGTGCTCTAGTAAAGGTTATGTTTTCTGTCAAATCGCAGACAAACTAACCACAACCAATGTATTAAACAAATAAGGTATCTTTGAACTTCTCTTTTTTTTTCTTCCCTTTTTTTTCTTTTCTTATTTTTGGGGGCTGGAGGGAAGGCTGTGTGTTTGTATAGAGAGAGAGGGAGAGGGAGTGCCTGTGTTTAGCCAAAAAAATGCACTAACCATGCTCAATTTTGAACTCCAGCGGCAGAGGTGCCTTTACCACAGGGACTTTACCACCATTTGCAATTTTATCTCCTTTCTCCCCTTTGCCCCAATCTCCTTGAAAATTTAAGAATTGTGCAGAGGATTAACACAAACACAACCATGTCTATGACCATATAATATTAAGGATCCAAACCAAAAAAAGAGAAAGAAAATCAAACCTCCAACAACTGAGTTATGAACTTTCCCACCAGATTTTGAGGACAGGCTAATTTTGGTTTCTGATGAATTCAAAATATTTACAGCAAAATTTAAAAGGGAGGGAGGGTAAATGAGTAATGAGAATAGAAAAACATGTTCTACGTGAAGTCTGAACAAGTAAAGGACCATATACATCTCCAATTCTCTATAGTATCAGGAAAAAGAGGTATAACCTTCAGCATCAAACTGTACTTTTCTTCCCCTCTTTGACTTTGCCGAGCTATCATCCTTCCCTATGAATGATGCTATGCAAAAGAATTTTCAGAAATAAAATGTCTTCATCATTAGAGTTATTGGCTCATCATATAGAAAAAAAAAATCAATTTGAAACAACATAAAATAAGCATAAAAAGGCTACATATATCTCAGCAGTAATCCACACATCAAAGCATGTTTCATGCATCCAAACTACAAAGTATAATCTAAGTTCAAATTTTTTTAAATGCTCAGTAATTAGTTCTCCCATGTAAATGTTTTCCAATTGGTACTAGCATGTAATGCTTGGCTAAACCATAAGAATACCCAAAAACACAGAAAGATACATTTGAACGCATGATAGATTAAAGATAAAAACAAGTTACCGGAAAAATAGGTGAGAGTTACCAGGAGATTTGAGAGAAGATTTTCCACCATTAGAAAGTAAAAACCCCTTTCCACCTTTCTCTGCCATTTGCAGCTGCTAGTGCTGCAAAACATACAAAGTCTCAGGTCGAAATCATCTAATCAAACCTCATCCAACAAGCAGATAAATGGAAAAACAATAAAAATATAAGTTAGACCACTCTCAGATGATGATTACAAAATAAAAAAAATAAAAAATAAAAAAGAATTTTTTTGAGATGTAAAGTACAGAATGGACCTTGAGAATGGGCTTCCTTATTAATAAAAAACAAAAAAAAAAGTAGGAAAAAAAACACCTTCCCAACCTCTTGAGTAATGTCGGCCCTTTCAAACTTCTTTTCCAGAAAGAACTGAACTCAAATCATTCTCTTAACCCAAAAAAGACCGAGATGCACACATAGATAATTAACAGTTACATATTTGTAAAACAAACAGGAAATAGAGAAATAAAAGATTGACGATGAAACCATTGAATTACCGAAAGACAATGCGAGGGTAAAAGGATGGGGAAGTCCAGCAGTAATATCGATCAGAGATAGATAAATAAGAGGGAGGGAGGGGGTGGGTGGGTGGGGTCAGGGGTGGGTTGTTTTTCGAACGCAGTAGTATTACAACTTTTTTTCTCTCGTGTCATTTGAACCCTACCTTCTAGCTATGGGAGGCCTTAGGGTTAGGGTTAGGGTTTAGGGATCCAAGCATTTACATTTTACATATTGTCAGATTATTCCGGTCGAAAATGAGTTACACGGATTCGTGTCAACCCAATTAAAGACACAAGTTAATTGGGTTAATTGGGTTTTTGGGTTAATTGGGTTGAATTCAAATACGACTCATTTATACTTTGTGTTGGCTGGAGTCATATCATACGTGAATTTGTGTAAAAAAATAATCAACTCAAACTCATTTATTCGTGTTGCGTTCATATTGAATTAAAAATTGTCACCCCTTCGCAGCGTGGCGTCTGTCTGGCTCAATTGTTTTATTTATTTATTTATTATTAAAATTACTTAGAGTTCACTTGTTTTATATATTTATTTATTATTAATCAATAAACCATGTAATAAAAACTAATGTGGTGCACTGCAATATCATTCAATCGTTTAATTGAATGAATGTTAGTTAATCTTTGAAGAAATTTCAATACAATGACAAATAAATGACATCGGTTGAGGTTGAGGTTGAGGTAGACGTAGGCCAACCCCATCGTGTTTCTTTTCTTTTTTTGTTAAGAAATAATTAGATACAAGGAGAGAGTATAATAAAATTAAACATCTACATTTACATTTTCCATTCCTACTTTTAATCCTGCTTTTACCTGTTGTTGTGAGGCATCATCATTGTCCATATCAATGATTATTTGCCTCATAACCAAGGGGGGAGGTTTTCAACATTGATGGTCCCTGATAATTGTTCCTCAGCCCCTACTTTGTTTCTTTTCAATAAATTCGTATGATTTACTTATGCTCGTCAGTTGTCACCATAGTTTTAAAAACCGGCGCAGACGTACCTGATAGAGGGACTAGGTCATTGGTTCAACCGTTGGGTCACTGGTCGGATCGGTAATATAATAAAAAATTAAAAAATAATTATAAATACTAATAAATAGGCTTAAAAAATCACAATAATTATAAAAATAACATCAAAAATGTAAAGTTAAGTAGAGAAAAATCATCAAACATGTATCTAATTTCAATGTATTCAATTTTCAATACAACTTAGTAAAGTTAAGTAGAGAAAAATACCTTTATTGAAATTTAATGTTCCAAGTCTAAGTCCAACTCTTCGACAATGCATCAATCGAAGCATAATCCATGTAATTTGCACTCTTCAAAGTTCAAACTTCAAACTCAAAACTCAAACTGTAGGATGCAATCATGCAAAACACATGAAAACAAAATGAAGCACATGAACATAACATAAGGACTCAAATAAATAAAAATTGAAAATAAATTATTCAACCACTACTTAGTTTCACTTGAAAATACAAATATTACCATTATTATCAATTAACTTGAAATTGCTTCTGTAAATCAAATTGCACCACAGCTAGTAAAATAATCAAACACTTAAAATTATCCAACCACTGCTTAGTTCCACTTGAAAATACAAATATTACCACTATTATCAATTAACTTGAAATTGCTTTTGTAAATCAGATTGCATCACAGCTAGTAAAATAATCAAACACTTAAATCAGAATTCTGCAAATCATATTGCATCATAACTCATAAAATTATCAAAATTACATCATAACTCATTCTAAAATATTTTTTTTTGTTAGTACCAAGATAATCAAAACATCAAATGGACAACCATTCAAAGTGCAAAATCAACACATTCAGTTATATATCAGCTGGGTTCATCCTAGGCTTCAAAGAAACTTGCACAAAATCCAAAAAATCGAAAAAACACACTCAAAAACACAAGCCCAGAAAAAAGAAACTGATTGCCAAGTGACTATGATAAACAAAATGAAAAACAAAACAGGGAGACAAAATTCTTCATTTCAAGATCAACAGCAATAATTTCTTATATAACACTTGGCCTGTAAAATAAACACATAAAATAGTCAAACTGCGTAATCTAAAAACCACAAAAAATAAAATCTAAAAGTAAGACAACGAGGTGGTCTCAGGCGTTATCACATCAAGAGGGGTAAAAAGTTGGTATTTTTAACTACAAAACGGTGATTCTGAGAGAGACCCAGAACCAGAAAGTGAATCATCTTCCCCAGAAAGAAAACTTTCAATATAGTGCCTGATTACAGTCACTGAACGAGAGAGAGAGAGAGAGAGAGAAGGGGGGAGGGAACTCACCTCGTCGCAGGTGGAGACTGTGCTCAGTCGTTGGTGGAGCTGTGTTCTGCTCAGTCGCTGGTGGAGCTGTGTTCTGCTCAGCCGCTGCTGCCTGGTTGTCTGGATCGATTTAGGGCAACTGGAGGCCTCGATCGATTTAGGGCAACTGGAGGTCTCGATCGATTTAGGGGAAAAGAGCAAAATGCCCATAAAGTGCCAAAAACTAACATTTATTCAAGTCATTATAAGCCGTCCGGTTCTCACCGGTTTACCGAATTTTAACCGGTTCAACGGTTTGATCCCGATTTCTATGCACAAATGGCTTTTTACGAGGAGCCCGGTTTGAGCACCAGTTTTACCAGATTAACCCGCCAAGCCGGGCCAAGTTTTAACACTGTGGTTCGTCATTAGTAATGCAGTGTAAGTGAAATGAATGAAACAAAAGGGGTTGTGTAGCGTCAGTCAGTGATTAGTTGGGTGTTCATTAATTAATTACCCATCATGTACGTAGACCCACATCTTGAGATCAATTAATTGATCAAATTTTCGTTTACACGCGACGACATCTATTCACATTAGTCCATTGTTACTACTTATATATTATTAATTAATACAATTAATTTTTATTTTTATTTTGAACATAGGATAACTACGATCACTCACATTTTTGCAACTGTAAGGGCTATAGCATCCATTTAAACACAAAACACATCCTAAGGCTATCCGATGTGGTATAGCCCCAGCCCTTACCCACCCAGGCCCTAAGGCCTCATCCAACCTATGGTCAAGCCCAAAGAGGAAAGAAATTGAGCCCACAATCAGAGCCACCCTGAAACACACATGAACTAGTATTCTTTTTTTTTAACATAGGATAACTACAATCACTCACACTTAGCAAGTGTGAGGGCCATGTCATCAATTTAAACACAACACACACCCTAAGACTATCCGATGTGAAAAAATACAATTAAATTAAAAGAAGAAGAATCTTGCTGATGTTGATGCTGATACAATGATGTTGATGTGTAAATGCATATGTATACCATGATTTGTTGATGCATTTGAACGACAGAAAAGGTGCGAAAAGATCTCAAGAGCAATCTCTTTTGGGATTTTGATAATCGGCTTTTACACTTTAAAGTTGTTTGTTTTGTTTATCTTTTTTCCCCCTATTGTGCATATGAGTTCTAATCGTGTATTCTGCGTGGTTGAGTAAAAGTACTAGATTGGGGATCTATTGATGGGGTTTACTGGAATATTCAGTCAGAGCTTCTAGGCTCTTGGCGGTTGAACAATCAATTCAAGGATGATAGTTGTGAACAGAAATCAATAGATGAGAAATTTATAGTGGTTTACCAGCTCGGAAGCTTGATTAATCCACTTCAATGGAGTATCATGCTCCTGTGAGAGTTTTTTATTACTTGGTGAAGAAGGCTATAGAATTACAAGGGGTCAATGTTTGTATGTTTGATTGATTACAATGTAAGGGATTTGATCCCCGTTTATAGTATGTTGTAGCCTGGCGTAATAATCACGATCCTTGCGTGATCAACGTGATCTCCTTGAGATTGTTACAACCCATATGATGGAATGTTTGGCTATTAGAGGCTACATTCCATTGGTGTGATGTAACCCTTTAGAAAGTGTGAGCTGTCATTATCGTAGTGCACATGAGGGTCACATTGGTGACGATTTTCAACTTACGCCTCACGAACTAGGGGTCTATAGCTGGAAAGTCTGAGATATGAGGTCCGAATTGGGATATCTGATCTGTGACATCTGAGCTGAAGTGTTTGAGCCGAGGTGTCTAAGCTTGGATGACTACCTAGGAAGTTAGGGATTGAGAGTCAGCTCATTCACCCGACCTTAGCTGTCTTTATTGGAATCCAGATTCTGACATTATATCATCGGTTCTTATTGAGGGTCAGCCCCCGTTCTACTATTGAACCGAGCTTAGACTAGCTAATTTTTGGTATTATCAGTTGTTCCTAGGTCCCTAGTCAAGTAATCCTTGCCTGACATGGATTGGGAATTACTTGTGCTATTGGATGTGGATAAGCTCAGCTTGTTTTTTTACTTGGAAGGTGCATGATGGGACGTTTCCCAGGTTTTTGGCGTTGCACGCGTACGAGGGGTCACATATGCCTTGATTATCGTGCATGCCCAATGTTCTCGCAAACCATACGAATGCCTTAAAAGTTTATGAAGACAAAAAACAGCCAAACTATTTTCTTTTTCACATTTTTTGTCTTTTCAAATCCTTCATTCCTTCTTCTAGAAAACGCCTTTTTCTGCCCTTTGCTTTGCAACTTCTTCTTTTTTCCGTCCTCTGTTCATCAAGCCTTCTCAAAGAGCACCTAGATCTTCCTTGTGTCCACTTCAAGGACGAACTAAGCTTCTCCCCACCTTTCTTGGCGTTGTTCTTGGATTTCAACTATCAATTGCCTTCGTTTAGATGCGTCTTCTGTCTCGTCTTTTTTTATTTTCTCTTTCCTAGGGTTTCTTGCTCAACCTTGGATCCTTCGAATCTGAGGCGATTATTCCATTTTTGCTCATTCTGCTTTTCTTACTTTAGGAGCTTAGGTCATTCTTTTTCTTTTCTTCCCCTTGTCTTGGATCCTTACACGACTGCTAGGGTTTTTCTCTTCAATTGTTGGTGTCTTGACTCTCAAGCCCTTGAGTATCATTCTTCAAACATCTCTTTTCTCTATACTTCTTTTGCCTATTTTGCCCCTCGTGCCTTTATGTCCTTTTCTTTTGAGACTACAAGGTCTTCTATCTCTCTTGCCATGGCTGATAGATCTCTTGAGGTTGAGGTTCGATCTTGTTGTCGCAGATGTATTGGTGGAGAAGATGTTCCAAGCTCCTGTAAGGTCAAAGGGTCAACTTGTCTGACCCTGATGAACTCGATGACCTTGGGGATGTAGGAGATGAAATATACAACTTTATTGCTGGAAAGGCCAAGGGTTTATCACCAAGGTGAGGAGTTTTAGCAAGCAATGCGGGAAATTTGCATTGAATTGACAGACCTTGCATTTCTTGAGCAGATCTTTTGCGTCCTTGATTATTGTTGGCCAGAAATACGCCTGCCTCAGTGCCTTATAAGCTAAGGTCTGAGATCCAATGTGGTTGCCACAAATACCTTCATGAATATCTCTTAAGATGTAGCTCGTTTCGTCTTCTCCTATACACTTCAAGAGAGGTGAAGAGAAGCATCTCTTGTACATATTTCCCTGGATGACCTAGTCCTCACCTTAGCTGTTTCTTTAGAATCCGCAGGTAGAATCCCATTTTGTAAATAAGCTAGGATTGGATCAATGGGAGGAACCTCATCTGGTTCAAGGCTCGGCTAGGTGTTCAACTGGGATAAATCTGTCTTGGCTTTCTTATAAGGCGGTGGCCAGTCTGCTTGGGAATTCTTAGCTTGAGGGATTTGTATGATCTTACCCTGAACGAATCTTTTCAACAACTCGTGCACCTTTTTAAAATATTGTGTCATCTTCTCCCGTGGCTTCGTATGTCTCTTCAATTTGCATCACCACCAGCTATGGATCACTGTGTATTTTGAGCTATTCCACTTACAAAGAATGAGCTAACCTAAGACTGACGATCATTGCCTCATACTCTGCTTCGTTGTTTGAAGCCTTAAAATCGAACCCGAGGGCATACTCCAGGTCTATTCCATCTTGTGAGGTTAGGATCAAACCAGTTCCTCTACCTTGTGCATTAGATGCCCCATTGATCAAGAGTTTCCACGTCGAGAGGTCAGGGATGAGGTTATTAGAGTACAGAGGTGCCTTTTGACCTGCAAAAATAGTGAATTCTGTAATAAAATCGACTAAAACCCGCCCCTTAATGTCAAACTTGCTAAGTTTGATTGCCCATTCCACTAGCCTTCTTGACTATTCAGACTTGTGCAAGATCTATTTTATTGTTTAATCCATGGAGATTTTTATTCTATGAGATTGGAAGTAATATCTGAGCCTTCTTACTGCT